CACACACACACACACACACACACACACACACCTGCCTGCCATCTTGGTCACAAGCTACTGTCTGTCCCCCTAGGACCCGCGGGGTGCGGGGGGCACTGCATGCTCCCAGCCCCTCGGCCTCCCCTGTCCCACCCCTGACCCCAATCCAAGCGGGCTGGGAGAGGACAGCAGTGGTGTGAGCTCTGTGTGGCCTTCTCTCTCTGCACACACTTGTGCACAGTCGGGGAGCACTTGCTCCCCCTCTCCTAACCCCTAGCAATTGTCTCTCCATCTCCCCACTCAACCAGGCCTGGCAGGGGAGGGACCGGCCTGGGGGCAGTCTTCTGCTCCACCCCTCACTGCAGCCCCTTGGGACTTGCAGGGGCCCCAGGGTGCTCAGGACCCCTCCTGCCACCACTTCCCAGTGCTTCCACTTTTCCAAAAGCGCCTTCCTGTCTCCCTGGTCTGTCCCTGCACCTGGGGCTGGGGTAGGCGAGGCCGTGGGGACTGCCCTTGTTACAGCTGAGGAAAACAGGCTCAGAAAAGTTTCACGACTGACCTAAGGTGGCAGGCTGTGGCGGCCCGGTGCCCTTTTCTCTCCCCCACCCTGTGCTCAGTTTCTCTTGCCTCCCATCAGTGCCCTCAGGCCTGAGAGGGGCAGGTCCTGAGTTAGCAGTGCAGACCTAGGGCTTCTGAGGATGGGATGAGAGGTTTCCAGAGCTTGCAGAAATGTGTGCGTGTGTGGGCGTGTGTGTAGTTTTGCTTTTAAACAAATGAAGACATGAGAGGCAGTAGGGCCAGGGTTGGAACCCAGGGGTGCAGGCTGGGGGGCTACTGCCCTTCCCTCCCTCCCCCATCCCCACCCCGCCCCATGGCAGGGCTCCCAGCCCCCACCCCCTGTACATACTTTCTAAAACATTTTTTTAGCTAATGAAATACTGAAGTATAAGATCTCCTTTTATTTTTCAAACCAATGGGACTAGAATGTCCCCTTTGGTCCCTGGGAGCCATGGAAGGCAGGATGGGGTGGGGGTCGGGGGGAAGGGGCAGGCTGAATGTGTGCGTGCGTGTAGAATGTGGGTGTGTGTTTCTGAGGTGGGGCCCCAGGCCTACCCGCTGCTGGGACTCCTGTGGGTCTGGCCAGCTCCCCCCACAGGGCTACATTTGAAGGGTGTCTCTGGTCTTGGCCTGTTGGCTGAGCCCAGCTCCTGGGGACAGGGCAGGGCCCACTCCATTGTTAACAGTTGTTTGCAGAATTTTCTCTCTAACCATTCCTCTCTTCATAGCCTCGCCCAGTGCGAGTGGTTTTGGTTTGAGTTTTACATGTGAACCGGAGGGTTCTTTTTTTTTTTTTTTTTTTAAACTCCCATCTCCCCATGTTGGGTGTCATTCGATGTTTGTTTTTTGTCTCTGGCCCTTGTCCTCACCACCTCTGGTTTCCTCTCCCAAGTCTGACGGCCCATTGCTTCCAGAGGCAGGGGACTGCTAGAGGGGGCTGCCAGAGGTGGTTGAGGACCACCCCAGCGAACCTTTGGAATCTGACTTGGAGGCCTCCCCTTGACCCAGCAGCTCTGCCAGTCTGTGGGGAGGGGTTCCCTCCAGCTTTGCTTGTTGTGGGGGTGGGGAGTGTTGGGTCCAGTTGGGGTCCTGGCACTCCTCTTTCTGGCCTGAATAGGGGGAGGCGAGTAAATGGGGGGGGGGAGTTGACACCCCCAGCTAAAGCACAAGCACCTTAGTCACACCTCCCGCCCCCTCGTCCTGTCCTGACACCCTGCCCCAGCATCATCCCAAAGCACAATATCCTGGTCACTTGGTGAGGCCCCGGGCCACAGAGGGGTGGGCTGGGGCACCAGCCAGCCCCCAAAAGGAAGCAGGAGTCCCCAGGCGCTCTCCCCTTCCAGGCCTTAGCAGGGGGCCAGCTCCTGGGACTGGGGTCCTCTCCCTCCCCACCCTTTGTCCTGGGCAGGCCCCTGCCCAGCCCCTCCCTGCCTTGTCCTTGGGCAGGGCTTGCCCCTGTCCTTCATATTCCTGCAGCACTGGGTTAGGTGGCAGAGACCCCTTGTTTCAGGGACCCCAGGAGGTACCCCTGGCTCCAGGGACTATGTGTTGGTTCGGGGGGTGTGGGGGGAGGGGCCGGGCAGGGGTGCAGGGGAGGATATTCCTCACCAGGAGAGCCAAAGACAGGGTCGTGCCTTACCCCAGGAGCCACCCCTGTGCCCGTCCACCCCACCCTGCCCTGCCCTCCTGGGCAGCCTGCTGCTGTTCCTTCTCCCCCCGTTGCCCTGCGCTGCTCTGAGCTGCATGGTTCCCCCCACCCCGGGCAGCCAGGAAGGAGCACGAATGGAGAATCACTGACCAACGCAAAAAAGACTGTGGGGGCCCCCTCTGCCTCCCCTGGCCACCCCTTGTTCCCGCAGGACAGGCCACCCGCCGTGTCCGCGTGGAGTGCCAACACAGGCCCCGCTGCGGGCCGAGCCCCCCTGCCCTGGCCCGTAAGTGAGATTGCACATTAACTACTGTAAGGAGAGGAGCGCACTGGGAAATGTGAACATGAGAACATCAGTAACACTGATGATGAGAATAAACTAAACGCCTTTGTAACAGCCCTGCTGCATGCTGCTCACTTGGGCGAGGGTGGGGGGCTGGGGGGACTGGGAAGGAATGCTCACTGCACACTCGTGTTCCCTCATCTTTCCACAGAGCAATACCCCCACTTCCCAGGGCTTCACATTGGCAATTGCAGCAGGGTCTTGGCTCAAGGTGCGCTAGGGGGAGGGGCCATGCCAAATGTCCCATATTTTGTGAGGGCAGGGACAGTGTGTTCTTTTCAGATGGGAACACTTGAGGTATAGGCCCAGGCCACCAACCGCTTCCACTTACAACATCCTTCTGGCTACCCCAGTGTGAACAGACAACACCCCCCAAGGCTGTTCCTGCACACATGTGAGCTCTAATTCCTGCCTGGGTGTCTCACGGGAGCCCCTCCAAAGCTAGAAGGGCAGCAGCTCCATAAAATGGGCTGCATGACACATTGTCCTGTGGTCTGACACCCCAGCCCCAGCAACATGTCCTGAGCACACCGAGAACCCCTTCCTGAGCCAACTTGCCCATGCATCAGAAGGAACACAAAAGTTGAGGTGGCAAGTGTAAATTCAGCCACAGATAACATGGGCAGTAGGGTCCTAAGGATGTAAAAGGACAAAAGGGTCTATCGAGCGAGGAAGGAAAGACATGGTTGTGCCTTAGGGTCCCATTGATTGAGATGTTTCAAGCAGTGCAGGAAGGTTATTTACCTATTTGAGGGATCCCCATCAAGTCAACAAAAGATCTTTGCTGGGTGGACTAGGAGGCTACATCTCCACTCAGGCCAGGTACTTCTACCCCATGATGACTAAGGGAGCTTCAGATGTCCATGGGGAAGATGACTAACACGGATGACCCTTGAACAACACAGGTTACCCAATGCAGTCTAAAATCTACATATAGCTTTTGACTCCCCCAAAACTTGACTAAATAGCCTGTTGACCAGAATACGACTTACTGATAATTAACACAATTTTGTATGTTATATATCACTGTATTCTTAAATATTAAAATCGTAAAGAATACATTGACAATATTTATTGAAAATTTATTCAATATGTATAAATGGACCAGTGCAATTCAAACCTATGTTGTTCGAGGGCCAACTGTACTACCATGTCCAGGGTGACAGGTATGTTTCAGTAAAACCAGCACCTTGGAGTCCTGAAGTCCAACTTCAATGGCAAGAAAGGGGTTTTGAAGGTCAACAGCATTGCCAATAAAAATCCAGGGGTGACTGCCCCATCCAACTTCCAGAAGCATATCTTTTAACCCCAGGAAAGCTTAGAACTAAGTATAGAATGGATCAAGAGAACCCAACACCATACATAGCTTTAGTGGTTTCACAGAAAAAAAGGAATCGACGTATTGGGTTCCTTTTTGAGACTTTTTTTTTTTTTTTTAGCTGAGCCATCCTGCCACCTGTTGGCAGCTCAGCTCAGGCCAGGCATTGAACCGCTGTTGCTCAGAGCTCAAACTCTTGAGCAAGCTCTTAACCAACTGAGCCACTCGGCCAGTCCGCTTTTTGAGACTTTTGACACATCGGCATAATGCAGTGACATACTCATGACACCCAATACTTTACAACATGCACATGAGCGAATGAGATGCACAGTTCCCAAGCCTGATTACCTAATGTGCAGGATGGAAACATCTTAAGATGATAATCTAAGGTCCCCTGCACAAGTTGACCCAGTTTACAGGCATCATTTCGTACTCCAGAAGACTAGGGCAAAGCCCTTACATTTACAAATGCTGGGGCCGGCTGAGTGGCACGTTGGTTAAGAGCTGGCTTGGGACGCCAGAGGGCCCCGGTTCAGATCCCACATGAGGACCAGTGACACTGCCTTCTACAGCTAAGATGCTGAACAACTGCTCAACCTTGAGGTGGGCTGCTGTGAGGCGCTGGCGATGGCATAGGCTGCAGCCCCTGTTGTTGTGGGTTGCCATGGGCTACCGTGTGTAGCCAGCAGCCAGTAGCCACCGTGAGCAGCTGTCCAGAAACCAGCAACTGATCTGCCTCCCCTGGGAAGAGCGCAATAATACCAACTTTGGCCAGTGAATCAACGTCCTCCAAAGGACAGCAACTTGTCTGTTCCCCTTCCCCCAATTCCCCAGCACTGTTCCCATCCCCCCAATTCCCCAATAAAAATCTTTAAAAAAAATTTTTTTTTACAAATGCTGCTTGTTAGTTATGCATCACAGAGGGAACAAGGGACCAGGTGTGCAGTGAATAACCTGCGTTATTCAGAGGCCCCTCAGAAGTGACCGCTCAGCTCCATGGCTCCAGAAGTTACCTACCTTGGGCACAATAGGTATAAGGTAATTAGGCTGTACTTCAAAAGCTCAAGAAAGAATCAGGGTTTGGAATTTTCAATGGTAATACAATTATCAGTCATGAAAACCAAGAAAAAAACCAGAACACTTTTCTGCACCCAATATTGACCATTGAAATCACTAACGTACACACACACACACACACACACACACACACACACACACGGCCATAGTGAGTGCAAATACGGGGGTTAGAAGTGGAGTTCCCATTCAGGGGGCACCCACAAATTTCGAGTCAACACACCATATGATACAAATATGTATAAAAAAGGCTGGGATTTTATTTCCAAGTTGGCACATGAAGGCACAGGGGCAAATACATGGCTTTGGGGCACTGGAAATAGACATGGGGCAGGGTGTGTCTGAAGGCCCCGCACCTCCGCTACCCCTTAAGCGCACTTGAGACGACCAATGACGAGGGATCTGGCCCAGGGCCCTGAGGGTCCCACTGGCTCTGAATGAGAGCCTTGGGACCTCTCCCCAAGCATCACCCCCTCTTCCCAGGGAGCAAGGCTCTGCCAGCTCCCCCAGCATGAGGGATCAGCCCCCTGGGGAGGGCCGGGGTCAGAGAGAGAAGAGCAGGATGAGAACCAGGAGAAGCACCCCCAGCAGCACCACAATAGCACACCACTGTCGGCGGTCTGGGGGCAAGAAGGTCAGAAGTCATGGGGGAGGCAGTAGCACCACCCACACCCCACGCCCCCCACCCTCCAAATTGCCTCCCCCAGGGGACTCACCACTCGTCATGTGGGATACTTTTGCCATCTTCCTGAGGACCCCATCCATCCGGGACTGGGTGTGGTCCATCTCATGAGCAAACGCATCCAACATGCTGCCAAAACCAGAATGGCGTCAGCCCCCAAAGGGTCCCCCTGTGCGGCCAGCCTTGGGCTCCCATCCCACCCTGGGAGTCCTGGCCTCACATGCCCTGCTCATCCAGCTCCTCCCCAACGCGGCCAGACATGTGTTTCAGAACCCGGATGCTCCCAGACACCATTTCCAGCTGTTGGTCCTGTTGGTCCATGATCAGCTGTAGATTGGAGGCAGGGAACTGCTGTCGGCAGGGAGGCCTGAGCTGTCTGCAGGCTCCTCCAGCCCGTGGCCCTGATCACCCAGACAAACCTGCTGGGTGGCCTGCTGCTCCTCAATGTAGCGAGAGGTGGCTGAGACCATGCTGACATCCAGCAGGTCGCTGGATGACTTCTGGGTGGCTGGCTTGCCTGTCAGCATCTGGTGGGGGCACAGACCACAGGTTCAGGCAGAGATGCCCACTCACCACAGAGCCAGACACAAGTTTGTGACAAATCCAGGCAGTGGTTAGTCAGTAAGGGAGTCTCTGAAGTGGGATGGCCTGGGTTCCCCAGACCCACCACTTACTAGCAAGGCCACATCACTTGACCTCCCTGTGTATCAGTTTCTCCATCTGTAAAATGGGGAGCTCTATAATCCCTGTTTCCTGAGGTTGGAATGAGGAAATGAATTAATGAATTAACCAAGTGTATTTACAAATTTGAACTTTAATCCCCAATGCAGGACACCGGGAAGGCACACAGGCACTGCTACAGGACTCCAAGCTAATGTGGGCCTCAGCACTCCCACCCTCCCAGACCCCATGACAGGATGGGGAGAGACTGGTTGTTTCACAGCATTCAAAGAATCTACCCACAACACAAAGGGGAAAAAGTGTACAGACAGGCAGCAGGGAGTGTGCCCACAAAAGGCATAAGTGGGCGCACACACAGGTAAGCACACCCACAGAGGGAAATGGTGTGCATGCACAAGGCGGACAGAAAACACTCAAGAGACCAACTTCACATGCTCAGATGGGTCAAGTGCATACACAGAGAAAAAAGGTAAGCTGGAAACATATGCTGGAAACAGCAAACAGGGGGAAAGGTATATGGACATCACCCACCCATCCCAGTATATAGACTCCCAGAAGAAGTAGGCTGAAGGGGGTATACACACAGTGAGGGCACAAATGTGCACACCCAGAAAGCAGGCAGGTAGACTACCAGGAGAACACACAGAAAGGGTGGGTATTGACACATAAGGGACAGATGTACACTCATTCCCAAGAAACAGGCAAACACACACACACACACACACACACACACACACACACACACACACACACACACACACACACACACACACACACACACACACACACACTGAGAGGTCAGGCTTGCATTCAAAGGAGAGGGTCATCTTAAAAGACAGGGTAGGGCTGACCGAGTGGCTCAGTTGGTTAAGAGCTCGCTCAAGGGTTTGAGCTCTGAGCAACACCGGTTCGAGTCCAGCCCGAGCTGAGTTGCCGCTGAGCTGCCAACAGGTGGCAGGATGGCTCAGCTAAAAAAATATATATATACAAAACCAAAACAAAACAGGGTGAGGATGTGGGCTCAGGATGCCTTACCTCTCTATTATTCCTCTCCAAGAAGGCTATGGCTGCTGGGCTGACCATATGGTCCTTCATTTCCTGGGGGTGAGGACAGCATCAGAGAGTAAAGATTCCCCTCACTTCCCCACCCTGACTCCTTCGGAAACTCCTCTCACCTGGACTGCCTCCCGCATCCGCTCCACGAACACCTTCCTCTCCTGCAGGTCCCCAACTGGCAGCTTGAACTTGCCTGGGTTGGCTTCCACTATCCGTAGGCCGCGAGTCGAAAGTCAAGGTCAATGCCAGTCACAACCCTCTCCTCTGCCTCAAAGCCCTCAACCCTTCCCTGGTGTCCAGCCTCCCAGCTCCCCCTGCCACCGCAATGGGCTCTCCCAGGCCGCCCTCCAAACCCCGGGATATCGATGGTCTCCTCCAAGTCCTCGAGATCCCACTCAATGCTGCGCAGGCCATTCCGCAGCTCATTGGTCGTCCAGTCCAACTCCTCGCGTCCGACCGCGGCGCCCTCCTGTAGGAGCTCGCACCAGCGCTGGTACAGCCCGCGGGCAGTGTTCACCGCCTTCTGCACCTCGCTGCAGGCAGGGGCACAGCGGGTGCGGCTGAGGGCAGGCGGGCTCCCAGCCGCTGCACCCCCAAACGAGTGGGTTAAGGGGACCCCCCCCACATCCCTCTACGTACCCCTCCCACTTGGCCACCGGGAGATCCTAACTCGCGCACCCCGACGGTCGAGCCCGAACCGACTGGCACGCTGCATTGGGTACCCAGGCACTAGCGGGCAAGGGCCCGAGCACCCTCTGCCCTCCCCAATCGCTGTCACTCACCCTCGGACTACAAAAAACGGGTCTTCGAGAGACATGTCAGTCCACCCGCGGGCGGAGGCCGGGCCCCCTCCCCTCTCGGCCTCACTACCTGGTTCCCCCCTAGCCGTGAAGAACCCGCCGCCACCCCCGCCCCCGTCACGTGACCCTTACCACCATCGAGAAAGACCGCCAGGGGGGAGAGAGAGGCCTCGGAGGCCGGAAGTGCAGAACTTCCGCCCTCTCGGTGGCCATCTCGGTTGTGGGCAAAGACGGCTTCCTGTGCGCGTGCCCCGCCCCTTCCCGTCTCCGTACTCCACTGCCCTCGGTAGTGCTGTAGTTCTGTCTGGTCGGGTTTGGGTCCGAGCTCGGGATATCTGTGTTCGAGCCACAGCCCCTCAAATTATTGCTGCTCAACCTATTTTTCTTCTGGCCAATGTAAATAATAATAGCCTCCCTGAAATCAAACGAGATTGTGACTGGGGAAGGGGCCCGTACGATTCGTAGATCCTCTTAACGGACTCCCTGAACCTGCACCCGGATCCTGTCCTGGGACATCTTCCCAGCCCAGGGGTCAAGAATGGCAGGTTTGGAAGGGGGTTGGGGAGAGGTGGTCGTCCCTACCTTCCCACGGGGCGGGGTGAGTCGCGGGCATTCTGTGGGGTTCTGCTGGACTCCCCTTTTTTACTGCGGAGGAAGGGCGCCTCGAGGTCGTCCTGGAGCGGGGTGGTGGTTAGTAGGGGTCCCGGAGATGCTTCTGGGGATGGGATCTTACTGGTTGCGAGCCTTACTGGGATCTTACTGGGGGTCGCGGGAGGGGATGTGATGGTGGCTCTGAGGATTGTCTCCAGGGGAGTCCTCTGCGTGTGGGGTCTTCGTCTGGGGAGGGGCCAGGGATGTCTGGGGAGGGGCTTGTAGGGTCTGTGTCACACGGGCATTCTATGTGGGGTCTTCGGGAAAGCACTCTTTTGGGGGTGCGGAGAAGCTATCGCCTGAGTGAGGTCCTGAACTCCCTCTGGAGGATGGGCGGGAAGTCTGAAAAAGTCCTCGGAGGGTCCCCCCTGTGTGTGTCAGAGTCGCTGTGTGCGGTCTCAGAGATAGCCCCTGGGCTGGGGATGTTCTGGAGCCTCCACGGAGGGAATGGGGACGTTCTCAGCAGGTCGTCGCTGTACGTGGCAGGAAGGATCGCTGAAAGAGGACTGTTTTTGGAGGGGTGTTTTAGGAAGGAATAATTGTTGATTCTTCATGTGCGGGAGGAGGGACCTGAGCGTCCTCCAAAGATGCATGAGAGGATCAGTTTTGGGGGGAGGAGCAGGAGTACCTGTGAGGGGGTCTTAAGGGAGAAATGGCTGCAGGGACTCTGGGAGGTGGCGTCAGTGGGAGCCCTGATGTCGCCTCTACCCGTAGACTGCTGGGCATACCCGGAGGGGCGTCACGCCTTCCAGGCCTCCCCGGAAGGAAGCGAAACCTTGCTCGCCCTCCGCGCCTACCCCGCTGGAAGCCCGTCCGGAAGCCGGGGACTCTTGCCTGCCCTAACTGCCCAGAGAGGGAGAGGGAAGGGGCGAGCCTGGAGGCCGAGACCCCACCCACGCCCTCCCGGAAGAAGTCCTCTACTACCCAGTACGGAGATTCCGACCCCTGTCCTTATATGGGCATCCGGAAGCATCTCGTCCGCCTGCCCTACGTCATTACTTCCGAATTTAGTCCTGGACGTCGCGCTGACCCAGTGGCGGAAAGGCTCTGCGCGCCATTCCGGTGGGCGGAGCCTCCGCTTAAAGGGTCCGCGCCACGAATGTGTGGAGCCAACCAAACAATTTTGCATCGTTTTTTGGAGAAACGACTTGAAATAGGTTTTCTTGGAGCGATAGCTCTTAGCGGAGGGTGAAGCCTTTGTTTTCTATCTGCTCTATCTCTGCTTTGCTCAGTTTTCAGCTCCTACCCCAACTGCGCCTCCTGGGCTGCAGAGGCGGAGCACGGCCGTGTCGTTCAGGGGGCGGCAGCCGCGTTTTCACCCGGACTTTCGAGCGGCCGGGTCCTCCGCCTTGCAAGCGCCAAGCCCACCCGTGGAATTTGTGCCGAAGGAAACTGGGGGGATGCTCAGTGTGCGAAGTGTACAGATGGCAGCCCAGGCTGCGTTCGTGTCTACAGACGTCCGCCGTCTGTGGAAGGGGCAGCTTTGTCCCTTGAGTCAGTCATCGCCGCCAGCTTCCTTATCATCTACAGACAAGGGGAGTGAAGAGGGCTGGCTGACGCTAGAGAATGATGAGCTGAAGGCCCCAGTGGCCCCCTTTCACCGTAATAGCCCAGTTATTCTATTCATTTAGCAAATATTGGACGAGTCACTCTGCCTCCGTTTTCCCACGTGACGAAATCAGATATAACAGTACTCTCCGTGGAGTGGTGAGGGATCAATGAGATATTCATGAAAGGAAAGCCTTTAACAGCTCCTGGCACGTAGTAACCGCTTAATAAGCGTTGGCATCATTGTTGATTCAAAAAACACAGACGCCTGGAACTGTGCCCACGGGGGAATGTACTTCTCGAACCCGTGTCTTGCTCGGTGCCAAGGGAAACTAGCCGCTTATGACCTGCTGGAGCCTGCGAACTCTACCAAGTGGATGGGCCCACCTCCCCTGAGCCTGTGCGCGGGCGCATTGGGGTGGGGGCTGAGGTAGTTGACCACCTCAAGAGCTCGTGTGGACTGGGAAACGCCCCTCCTCTTCAGGGTTCGTGTCCCTTTCCTCCGCCCGGTAAATTCCACCCTGTGGCTTTAAGGCGTCTCTGGCCCCGGCGCTGTGGAAAGCCCGGATGCGGCGCTTTGATTGGGCGGGGCGTCTTGGTGACGTTACTCCGAGTACAAAAGGGCCCGGGGGTAGCGGGTGCCCCGCATAGCGTTCTAGCAGCGTTACGGCGTAAGTAGGCGTGCAAAGAGGCGTGAGTGAGCGCGTTGTCTGTAGTGCACCTGCTCCCTGTACTGCCCAACCTTCGAGTCCCCGCCGCCCTCGCCATCGAGTCGCCATGGAGGTGCAGAAGGAAGCTCAACGCATCATGACCCTATCGGTATGGAAGATGTACCATTCGCGCATGCAGCGCGGGGGCCTGCGGCTGCACCGAAGTCTACAGCTGTCGCTGGTGATGCGCAGCGCCCGGGAGCTCTATCTCTCCGCCAAGGTGGAAACCCATGAGCAGCCCGAGGTGCCCTCGTTGCCCGCCCGTTCTCCAGACCCTCGCCTGCTCCTGCCACGGGAAGCGCAAGCGGCAGCCGAGGCAGCGTCACCCGACAGTGAGCAGCCCTGCTCCGAGCCCATGGACACGCAGGAGGCGCCGAGAGCCAAGGAAACTCCTTTTTGCTGTGCCCCGCACCCCGCTAAAGTCAGCCGCAAGCGGCGGAGCAGCAGCCTGAGCGACGGCGGGGACGCCGGACTGGTTCCGAGCAAGAAAGCCCGTCTAGAAGAGGAGGAGGTGGAGGAAGGAGCGTCTTCGGAGGTCCCCGATCGCCTGCAGCCTTCTCCCGCGCAAGCGGAGGGCGCCTTCCCCAACCTGGCGCGTGTCCTACAGAGGCGCTTCTCAGGCCTCCTGAACTGCAGCCCCTCCGCCTCCCCGACGGTGCCGCCACCCGCGTGCGAGGCAAAGCCGGCCTGCCGCCCGGCGGACAATATGCTAAACGTGCTCGTGCGGGCTGTGGTAGCCTTCTGAGGGGCCCCGAGCGGCGCTGCCGGAGCCCAGTGCGCCAGCCGAACCTTCGGCCAGAGTTCGCAGACACGAGGTCAGGCTACCCCCGCGGGAGCACCCGCGGAAACGATGGAGAGGAGCCGCCGCCCGGGCTGCTGAGAGGCCCGGAGAGGGACTCTGCCCCCGGCGAGCCGTTGCCACCCGTGTGCCACGGCGGCGCCGAGGTGCCTGAGCCGGGGGCGCGGGCGCCTTCTGCCGAGACCTGCCGCGCCCATAGGTGCTGTCTTAACCGATAGGGACGTGGCCTTTCCGTCTCCTGGGACTGGGAGAGGGACGCTTGGTTCTTGCAACTCCTCAGGGTCGGACTTTATTTTTTACTGGGGGCTGTGCTCCCCTTTCAAGGTTTTTCTATAGTTGATGTTTGCGTTCCCAGCCCAGCGTTCCAGGCACTCTTCCTTCCCCTCCAGTGACATACTTATGCAAGCGATCATCGTTGCGTCATGGGGCAGATGTGGGTAGCTTCCTGTTGCCTTGCGTGGGTGTGGGGCCTGGGAGGAGGGCCTGGGGTGTGGACCGCCGTGGGGAATGGGAGGAGGGCGGCCTGAATCACTTCGCCCCCGCGCCTTCTGGTTGGGGGTGGGGGGAAGCTGATCTGATTTCAGGTTAAAATTTTTCTCATTTGGTGCGTTCGAGGAGGGGATGATGTTCACAGTCTCAAGCGTGACCCTCCCTCAGACATACAGACACAGTCGAACCCCAGTCTTGATCTGAATTACAAAAATGGGAGAAGGGGACGTTCAGATCGCTGTAAGGCTGAGCTGGGGCCAGTTGCTGGTGAGACTGGGCCAGTTTAGGGAGGGGTAGATTCTAGCTAGGGCGTTTTGAGGGTCTGTTTATTTACTCTGGTGGACTCTGTTTAACTCCGTCTATCTGGACTTTTGCTAGAAAGGCCAGGTAGGAAAATAAAGACCATCTGAATAAAAAGTCTGCTGTTTTGTATCCTTCCTTGGTGGGGGAGGGGCGGGGTTAAGGGGTCAGAAGCTGGCGGCGACTTGCAGGAGCCCCACAAACCGGTCTGACTGGCTCCCACGTGGGCAGAGTGGGCGGGAGGGGGCTGGGCCTCCTTTTTTCAGCCGGAACACTTCCGCACTGGGTGTCAGGGCTCTCCAACTTCTTAAGGCCCCCCACATTTGGGGATTCCTTAGTAATTCCCCTACAAGTCTGGTGAGGGGAGAGAACTTTCCGGGTGCAGACGTTTGGTGGGGGATACTGCCGGGGACAGCGACCCAAGCGTAGTTGGGGAGCCACGCCTCCTTGGGAGACTTGAACGATCGCAGATCTTGCCCGTGTCGCACTTGACCAACTGAATTCGCTCTGGCGGAGGTCTCATGATCCCCAGGGAAGGTGAGCTTCCGAGTGCCTTTTATGCCCTGTTCCAACCTCTGGCGTTGTAATTGTGTGGCTGAGACAGGGAGGTAACTCCCAACCTCAGCTTCCTCAGCTATGGAGTGGGCTTTTAAACATCTTCCCCACAAGAAGACTTAGTTAGATCTAGGAATGCCCGTGGGAGCCCTTGTTATTTGCTTTGGCCCCACCCCAGCTCCAGGTTAGCCACTCCAGGGGAGAGAGTCCTCATAATTTACCCAATACAGGCCCAAGAAAGGGACTGTTGGGAGGACAAAGGAGCCGCAGGTGCGGGGAGTGAGTGACTCGGGGAAAGTGCCCGCCGGGCCTCCGGACCTATGGCTCCGCCACTGCGGGCCTCCCGCGACCCCGGGGGACCTGATCCCGAGGCCAGAGGGTGCCGCGAAGAGGCGGGCCCGCCCCGCCCCAGGATGCCCTCCCCCAGCTCGCTTCTGCCTCGATCACCACCCACCTGCCTCCCTGCCTCCCCCTGGGCCCTCCGGGGGGGATCTAGCCCAACTTGCCTCCACAGCTGCCAGATTCCTTACCCGGAAATGTGAGAGACTTAGCGCCACCCACTCGGGGGCCTGACCCAGAGCTCCCCAGTGGGACGTAGGGGGGGGGGACTGCAGCCCCACACCCTTAGGAGCTCAATGAGCCCGCGTGGGAGCAACGCCCCCACAAATTTGGCCTGGCCCAGGGAAGTCCCCTGTGGCTGGGGGAGGGGGCCTCACTGCGTATCCTGTCGCAGGAACCGCCGGGCCCTTCCTTCCGCGGGAAGCGGCTTGGCGGACCCCCGCCCCCGCCTGGAAGTTCCGGTGGCGGCCTGGAGACGATGCGGTGTGAGACAGACCAGCAACCCCTTAGAGACATCCCCTTAAGATATACCCTCCCCCAAGACCTCTTTTAACCCATCAGAATAGGCAAAATCGAAAACTTGTCACAACAACGGACACTGATGGGGCCTAGAGTTTTCAGGCCTATATAATTAGCACTCGGTTATTGGGACAGGCCTTCTGGGGAGTAATCGATTGGACAATAGCTGTGAAAACTGAAAATGTCACATATCCCGTGTTCAGCCGATTCACCAGGGAATCAGCAGGAGGTTCCAGAAGGGTGTTCATGACAGTGTTGGTACAGATTTGAAACATACATACCCATCCAATGGGACTGGTCTGGTAGAATGTGGACTATCCGTGTCTCCCCTTCCCCCTCTCACTGGAGGTAAAAGGCCGGAGCCTGACAGATCTACATGCTCAGGCAACAGAGATAACTCAGAACCTTGATGCTGGGTGGCAAAGGCCAGTGCAGAAATTGTGGGTTAAGTAGCACAGATACCTGAGCCAGAGAGCCAGCTTCCTGTGCAACTTTGAGCAAGTTACTTCACCCCTCTGGGCCTCAGTTTCCCAGGCTATAAATTTTGGAATATAATAGTTTCTACCTGTTAGGTTCATTGTGAAGGTTAAGCAAGATAGTGTATGTAAAATGCTTAGTAAAGTGCCTGGTACCAGTGTTACTATTTTTTTAATTTAATGTTCGAGGCCAGGATGACAACAGTGCTGGCCGTTTATAAACATATACAGCACTATAAGCACTCTGTGTGTGTGTGTGTGTGTGTGTGTGTGTATTTGTATGGAAAAGTGTGTGCAGATGCTGTGTTAAGTCCAGAGAGCAGGAAAAGCAGCCACCTCTACCCCCCACCACTCCAGTAGCTCAGTGTGAAAAGCATCTGCCTCCCCTGCCATCTATAGAGTTTAACAGAGTTGATTTTTTTTTCTCCTCTAGGTCCTATACCCATGGTTTCCTCTCACCTTACCAGTGATCCCTGCCTGGAGGCCCCTGGCGGCCTCATTCAGTCTTAGGACTCTAAATGCCATCTCTATGCTAACTCCCAAATTTAGTTCTCTATTCAAGTCTCCCTGGGGTCTAAGGTACTCCAAGCAGAACAGGACCCAAAGAGGATTCTAGCTGTTTCCTGCGGCCTTCCAATTGAGGAATCTTCTTTGAATCCCATTTTCTTCTTTTCTCATACTCCATCCAGTCAAGGGGCTATTGACTTGACCTACCATCTCACTCCAAGCTTATCCCCTTCCTCCATCATCCCTTACCTGGATTAGAGCAGCAGCTCCCTCCCTGCCCTTGACCCCCACAATCTATTCTCCACAGCAGCTGTACTGATCTTATAAAACACAAACTGTATCTTTGCACTTGTTATTCCTTCAGCCGGCAATGCTCTTTTCCCAGATACCCACAAGTCCATTCTCACTTTCTTCAGGTTTCTGCTGAAATGTCACCTCCTTGGGGAGGCCTTCTTTGACTATCTGACCTAAAATAACACCCCACTCTGCCACTCAACTTAGCCTTCCTTAGAGCACTGCTCACCGGCTGAAAGGGTATATTTATGTTCTGTTTAACATTTGTGCCCCCATTCAAATGTCAATTCCTTGAATGAATGCCCAGCCCAGGCCTAAATGAGTGAATGAGGTTGTCTGGGGTAAGCAGGTGCTAAGTGTTTAATATTTATTTCATTTAATCAATGGCTTCCCATGGCTCTTAGAATAGAATTTCCCAAACTTCAGACAGTTGAGGGTCAGGATTTTTATCAGATCTGCATAACAAATGTACTATTATTTACCTAATTTTTAAAACTTACTGGTTAATCACTCACTATACTTAGAAGGTAACAGTTCACAAAAGTTACCGTGAAAATGATACACTGTCATAAGATCCTACTGAAACAGTAGCCAAGTGTGAGGTGTTCCAGACAGCTTTCTTAGTTACAGAGGAAGATAACAAGGTTAAAGACACACTGTTGCCAAAGGAGGAAGACTACTCATATATCCTTAAGTCAGACTAGCTGGGACTGAAAGCTGAAAACGGAGAGACTCTGAGAAATGCATTCCATGATATTTAAATAACATTGAATCACTTTGCCCACAGTCCCAGCGTTAGGAAAATTCTGCTTCTGAAAGAGGGACAGCAACCCTAGGACTGTCCTGCAGGATCTGGGCCCAGCCCATCTCTGGCCTAATCTTGCATCACCCTCTCGCCACTGACCTGCTTTTTGTTCTTCATACTTCCGCAATCTTCCAGCCACAGGGCCTTTGTATATAAGCTCTCCTAGAGCACTTTTCCCTTCCCTATTCACCTACTTTAGTCGGCTCAGCTTTAGGGCAAATCATCAGGGAAGTGTTCCCTGTCTGCCTCCTTTGGTCCAAGATTCCTATATTTGACATTCAGATCAAGAGCTAGTTTTTTTGTGTAGTATTTATCACAACCTCAATTTTACATGTTTCTGGGTTTGTCTCCTCTTCTAGCTTGTGGCCTCCAAGAGAGCAGAGAGGAGTCTACCAGGTGCTTACTACTTGGTTTTTGTGAATGATGCCTTTGCACCTTTCTTTTGAGATCAGTCCTTCTAACGTCCACTTTATACAGACCGGGAAACTGAGGCCCAGAGAAGCTCGCCTTGCAGGAGAGCCAAGTAGGGGACAGCTCTAGTCATTTCCCCCATCCTCAGAATCCCTCCCCTTCACCGCTGTGCGAGGGCCCAAGGGACAGGCGTTCTAGTTCAGCCTCGGCTGAGCTTGGAAAAGGCCGGGCCACAGGTCGGGACCACCCCAGGAGCAGCACCCAGACCGGTTTACCCGGTTCCAGGAGCCTGGGCGAGGTGCCCGCCCGAGGCGGGAAGACGCCGGCCTTGGCGTAGCTGCCAGCCCGGCAGAGCGGGAACTTGATCTCCGCCAGGAAATTTAAGTCTCAGGCGGGGCGCTTGGGGTGGAGTGATCTGGGTGTCAATCACAGGAGGGGCGGGGCATTCAAATACGCTCTGCAGGAACTCACAGTGTAGTAGGTGGTCTGGGCCACGCCCCTCGCCCCCAAACCGTTCTTTTCCGGATTTCTCCCAGACCCTCAGCGCTGGACAGCGCCCCTGACCCCCCGCGTGCCCCACGAATGCGGGGGCGGGGCTTTAGGGGCCGCGCAGGGAGAAGGAGGCCCGGCTGGGGACGTCTGGGGATAGAGGTCGACTGGGAATCAGGAAAAAGCGGAAGGAAAATGGGGATTGCCAGAGTTTGAGGCTCATGCTACCCACCCTTGGCTTGGAGGCTGCTGAAACGCCCCCATGTGTCCAGGGGAACCCAGACCCCCCCACATGTATGCTCAGGCGAGCCCAGGACCCCCACAACAGTGTCCAGTGGAGAACAGATCCACATACCTGCTTCCCCCACCTGTGCCCAGGTTACTTGGAGCCTCCCCCCCACTTGTGTCCAGGGGGACTCAGAGACCCCCACCCGTGTCCAGGGAGCCCAGACAGCCCCTACATGTGTCCAGAGTTGCTCTCCTGAGGGCATTTTATATCTGTTTACTGAAGTTCAGCCTACGGAGTTATTAATTCCACCCACCTCTGTGTTAAGGGAAGCTTAGGTCTTCTGGAATTTGCTGGAAAGCTGAGCTCAGGGACTGAGGCCCTCCACCTGCACATTCAGGCCTGAGGCCTCCCCGGGCCTGGCTCCTCTCCTGACCCTTATGGATGGAGCCTCGCTCAGCAGAAATCTTGCTGTCTTCCAGCCTGCTGGACCATC